TAGAAACATGTAAACTACTGGATTTTCTGACTAAATTAGATTAAGATATGTGACTCAGGAATGTGAGATGGAATACTTCCAGGTCATGAATTTGGACAGCTAACAATGAAGGAGATTTAGGAAAAGAAGTACTATTATTATTATTGAGAAAAAGAGACATAACACAATTATAAATAGGTAGCCCACCAAAAGAAGTAATAACTCTAAATGTGTATATATCTACCAGTGGGGCTTCAAAATATATGAAACAAAACTAGATGGAGATAAAAGCAACATAAAGATACCTCATACATGAGACCAGAAATCAGTAGAGCAATTAAGCTTTAAAAAGTAGTGTGGTATCTGGGGCTGGTGGTGTAAGCCTTTATTTATCTTTATTTCCTCAGGAGACTAAGTCAGAAGGACAATAAGTCTTCCCTGCACTCAGAGTGAGTTAAAGACCACCCTATAGTGTCTGAACAGAAGAGGATTAAACAAGGTTACAATAGAAAGATATAAAAATATCTCAAATAGTTAGAAATTAAACAATACACTTCAAAACACACCATGTACAAAAGAAGTAATTTCAAGGAGATTTAAAAATATTTGAGAATGAAGCATATCAAAATTTGTAGAAGACATCCAGGATTAGAAGAAGTCTATAGAAGTGAACGTTCATGTTAGCAAAGAACAAATGTGCAAATCAATAGCCAAAACTTTAAGAGTAAGACAAAGAAGAGCAAATAAATGCAAAGCAAGAACAAGGGAAGGAATGTCAAATACATGACAAGACATAGATTAAGCTGAGAACAGAAAAATAATAGAGCAAACAATGAGACAAAACACTGATTCAATGAAAATATCATGGAATTTATAATTGGTTAGCCAAAATAACAAAAAAGGTGAGGGGAAACAAGTCATTAATACTAAGAATAAACGATAAGTCATCACTGGAGACACCACAAAATTTACAAGAACAAGGGGGTAATAGAATGAAATTTTACTTATAAAACTATAGTAACTTAGATCAAACAGACAAGTTTCTTTAATACAGTGGTTCTTACCTTCCTAATGCTGTGACCCTTTAATACACTTACCCATGTTGTGGTGGGTCTGAACTATAAAATTATTTCATTGCTGCTTCATAACTATAATTTTGCTACTGCTATGAATCATAATGTAAATATTTTTGAGATAGAGGTTTGCCAAAGTGATGCACAGAGATCCACGGCTTTAAAAGCACTAACAATCTCCTCCAAGAAGTAATAACCCAAGAAAATTAATGATCTAAAATTTCTAAGAAAGACAGTTCTAGATATCATAGTAAGTCATAACAAATATTTAGAGATATTATAACAGTTCTACACAAATCCTATCAGACAGCAATAGCCATTCATTGAGGCTAGCATTACTGAAAAGTATGAGGGGGGCAACTATGAATACAGACAAAAACAATCTTTAAAAATTAGTATACAGAATGCAGCAATTTATAAAAATGATAATGCTTCATGACAAATTGAAGGCTTAATCAATGATTGGAATGCTGGCCTAAAATGTTTTAATGAATGTGATTTTATCATATCACCAAAAAAAAAAAGAAAGAAAACCATATTATCATCTCAACACCACCACCAGAAATAGACAAAAATCAAAATCCATACCAGAATTTTTAAAAAGGTTTATCAAGTGCCTGAAGACATACATATCCTTCCAGAGGATAAATTTGGTTTTGGTTACCAGCACCTACATAGGGCAGCTCAGAACTGTCTCTGATTCTAATGCCAGGGGACCTAATACCCTCTTCTGGTTTCCACAGGCATTTGCATACATGGGGCAATACACTTATACACACATATCTACACATATGAAAAAATAAAGTCTTTTAAGCATTTATCAAACCATGTGGAGCATGATGACTTAATTGAGGAAACCCATGGATTACTGAAAAAGGTATTATTTATTAAAGGATTATATGGAGGAACAACTCACTGATACAAGATAAGGCAAATTCAGTCCCAGAGTCCCTGGAAGGCTGAGAACCAGTCCCATGCTGCTTCACACCACCTGACCTCAGTCTTCACCATCTAAGAGCATGAGAGAGAAGGACCCCGAGTATGTGCTCCCCAGACCTTAAGCTAGCCAAGAGGCCATGCCCTAGGGGCTGGTACCCCAAGGCCATAAGTGGAATGAATATCTACTACATTTCCCCTTTTTGTCTAAATAAGAGAGTTCTAAATCTAATACAAACTATGTGGTGATATGTTATGTATCAAATAAAGCTTGCCTGAGGATCAGAGAACAGAGCCAGCCACTAGATTAAACATAGAAGCTAGGCAGTGGTGGCACACACCTTTAATCCCAGTACTTGGAAGTCACATGCCTTTGATCTCAACACTTGAGAACTCATGCCTTTGCTACTTGTATTTGGGAAACACACACACCATTAATCCTAGCATTAGGAAGGAAGTGAAATAGTTGGGCAGAGAAAGGCATATAAGGCATGAGGGTATGGTAACTAGAAGCCTTTTTGGCTGAGGACTCAGAGGCCATTTGGCCTGAAGATTTGGTAGTGGTGAGAAGTTTCTCTAGTGGCTTGTTCCTTTGTCTCTCTGATCTTTCAGCATTTACCCCAATATCTGGCTCTGGCTTTTTTTTTTAATTATAAGACCATTTAGGATTTGAGCAACAAAACTATATACAATAAAAATGATTATCAAGTATTGCCCAAGAAAAATAAAGGGTAATACCTAAGCAAAAATGGAACTACAATCAATAAGAACATCAAGCAAGAAACACATTGAATGTCCAGATCATAGGTAAATGGCAAATTACAGAGATTATCTCAATAGCTGTCCTATCCTGAATAATCTAAATCTAGTACCTGATATGTTCTTAGCTAAGATACAAAAGGATTGTAACTGTAACTATCTAGTCTTCAACCTCATCCAAGACCTGAAAAGGGAAATAATATTACCTGAGTAAACAAGAAGTGCAAGCAAGCAACTTTGAAAAATCATAAGAAATGACAGAGACAGCTGGCTGCCTGGACAGTCACCTAATGTTTTTCTGCAACGCTGGGGCATCCCTTTTTGGCTAGAATATCTGAAAGACCATTTTCAGAAGTAGGATATTTTGAAAGACTGTCTTACCTTGTCTTGGCAAGGTTTAGCAGTCACTTATCCTTTGTCCTGCTCATCTGGATTGGGCAGCGTGCTTACTGTCAGCAGTCAAGGCAAGGGCAGCTCTTTGCCCAACAAGTGATTTTTTTTGCCAAGAATAAGACAAACTTCCATATGGAGTGTCTTCAATGCCCAACTTTCTCTCGGGAGTAGATAGGTGCTGCCAGGAGCAATAGTGTCTCACACCAACAGAATTCTAAGTTATTAAAACATTTAAATTCCATATTCTCTAGGTCTATGAAGTGGTTGAAAATTACCTAGCCATCTGACATATATTTCTGTATATCTAGAAAACCTAACATGACTATAAATATGACAACTAGGGGTGACGATTAACCTGTAAATCTTATCAACCTAAATAACTTAAAGACTAAGGCTTTATGTTATAAAAGTAAAAATCTGTAAACAGATGTACAGTATAAGGACAATGACCTCGAATTTGTGACAATACACAAAATATCTTAATCAGAGGTAGAAATGTATAGCACAATATGACAACAATATCCTTAATATGTATCAATATACAAAATATCCTGAACAGAGGTAGAACATATATACAGTATGACAAATATAATTTTACAATTGTATCAATATACAAATATTTCAAACAGGAGTAGGAACATATGTACAATATGATAAATATAATGTATTTGTATCAATATACAAATTATCTTAAACAGGAATAGAAAAATAATTTTACATTTGTATCAATATACAAGAATCCATACCAAAGGAAATTATCTAAAGCTAATAGTTACTGATTCAGTTTAGAAGTAGATACAATAATCTACCTTATTATTCTATCCTATCTATTCCCCTTTTTTCTTATCCAAAAGAGAATCCATTATGGACATGACTTCTAAGAGGTATGTAATTACAGAATCAGCTTTTTCAGAACTCAAAGCAGTTCCCCATTGAACTTTGTTTCACCTCTAACCCTAATACAATTTATAACCAACCCCTAACAGATGACAATTATCCATAATGCTGAGAAAACAAAACATTTTGGTAGAGGGGGCATCATTTTATTAGAATTGCTTCCTGCTGTTGTGTGTGTGTGGGCAACCATATTTCTGTGGGATCTTGTGAAAAACTAAAACAATGTTTAGATCTCATAAGAACTGACTGTAATATTTATAGTCAGTCTCAGAGTTATGGGTAAAGCTTACCCAAAGTTCTGACTAGAAGTGTAATATGATGGACTATCTCAGCTAACCATCTTGGAACTCTCCTGAACAGTTTGCAGTCCAAAGCTGATCACTGAGTGGTGTTTATCTGCTCAATGACATCATTATGAACCAGATAGAATCATTGTTGTGGGGTCCTATGGTGATATTTTATTTGTACTGAAATGTGATTTTATTTGTATGTTAATAAATAAAGTTGTCCTGGGGGTCAGAGCTAATAGCAAGCCATCAAAGAAGCTGGGTAGTGGTGGTGCATGCCTTTAATCCTAGCACTTGGTAGGCAGAGCTAGGTAGATCTCTGTGTGTTCAAGGATACAGCCAGCATGGAGACACACACCTTTAATCTTAATACCAACCATAGAAGACCTGGAGGTCTGTATAGACAGGCAGTGACGAGGCGGTCATGTGGTTGCGTTTACAACCAATAAGAAGGCAGAACAGAAAGTCTTTATAAAGACTTTAACACAGGAAGTAGCTCTCTTTTGGAGAGGTAGGACCACCACGATAACAAAGGGTAAGGTTTTTAGCTCTTAGCTATTGCTCTGACCTCTTGGCTTTTATCTCTGTATTGGCTCTGTGTTTCTTATTTAATAAGATGGTTGGTTACATCTACAGGTCCCATCTTCCTTCTGGAGACTTCAGAGACTATTATTGGGAAGATTTATTTTTTCATTGTGGAAAACTTGAACATTATTAATACCAAAATGGAAATTTAAATTTTAAGATGACATAATATGTAAAGAAAGGTTCTAAAGAATCAAGAATAAGCATAGAGAGAAATAGAATCTTGACAAGGATAATCTCTAGATTATTGGTTTTCTTCTGTTCCACACCAGGTGGCTCTTCTAATATGAGACAGAATCTCTTAATTTTTTCTTTTAACAACATAATTGGGTTAAGAAAAGGAGAGAGCCATGTTCCAACTCTAAAACAAATTTGATTTATAATTGAGTCAGGACCACAACTTTTCTCAGAAGTAAAGAGATATGGCTGTTAGGCAGTGATATTTTACCCTGTAGAGTATATTGGTACCAATAGGTCCATTTTTTCTCTGCTTGTAAACTTTTTCTGGATAGCCTTCCCTTCTGCTTTAGAGGTCTAGGTGTCCAAGGTCTTTTTAACTTCTTGAAAATGGGTATTTCTGTTTTCCTGTAGATACAAAAACAGAACTGTGCTCTGACCCTTGTTAGGTGAGTTTTCCTTACAACTTGTAAATTGTCACATCAGTGAATGAGCTATCATTTCTCCTTTTCAAGAAGTTTCTCCTGATTGAATCAAATTTTTATTAATTTTGGTGTTATCCATAGTTTTTTTTCTCTTATGGAAACAAAAGCGAAACCCTTCCCCATTGTAGCACATATCCTGGTTTCAATTCTGAGGTCAACACACCTTTGAAATACACAGGGTGATTTAGTTCAGCAGTTTGTTTCTATTATTCAATGTCTCTCCACAGCTGTTGTTCCTTTCTCATCAGCATTATGAAAATTCAAGGTTAATAAGGTATCATGCAATCTATTTTGGGGGGATTTTGTTTCCCCTTTCTGTTTATAAAGCATTTCTTTTAAAGTATTAGATCTTTCTACAACCGCTTGTCCTGTAGGATTATGTGGCATACCTATAATATGCTTTGTATTATAATATGCAAAACACTGTTTCATTTTACTGAGGACATATGCTAGAGCATTGTCAGTCTTAATTTGTACAGGTATAGATAGCCATTATGGCCATGACTTCTAAGAGGTATGTAATTACAGAATCACCTTTTTCAGAATTCAAAGCAGTTGCCCATTGAAATCCTGAAAATGTATCTATTGTATAGTATACATATTTTAATTTTCCAAACGCTACAAAATGAAACATATTCATCTGTCAAATTTCATTTCTTTGTACACATTTAGGATGACTTCCTGGAGGTAATTGACTTTGGTTATAGTAGGACATTTTTTTTTTTTTTTACAATTTCCTTGGCTTGTTGCCAAGTTATAGAAAAGTCCTTTTTTAAACCTTTGCTCTTTATATGGTGTTTCATTTGAAATTCTGAAGCCTCTAGCACATCTCCTATTAATAAGTGTTCAATCTCATCATTATCTTGTGCGAGAGGACCTGGCAGACCTGTATTGGATCTGATGTGTAATATATGTGTATATATATCCCTGTTTCTGATAATTTCCTGTAAGTGTATAGTGAAGTTAATTTTATCAGGAATAAAAATTCTGCAGTTTAAATATGTAAAACAACTCTTTCTGCATATTGAGAGTCAGTAACTATATTGAGAGGTTCTGTAAAGTTCATTAGTACCATAAGATTAGCATACAATTCTGATTTTGTACAGAATTTTAAGGACTTTGAACCATTTTACTTAAATCTCATGATTTATATCCTTCCTTTCCTACTTTATTAACATCTGTATAAAACGTTGGGACTCCAGAGATTGGTTTTCTTTGTACCATGTGAGGAAGAACCCAACTGGGTTTTTTTCTGAATTTTATTCTCTCATTTTTGGGATAGCAGTTATTAATCTTTCCAAAAAAATACTGCAAGCTCTTTGCCAGTATTCATTATCTTTCCATAAAGAGGAAATTTCTTCATTAGTTAAAGGCATGACAATTTCTGCTCGGTCCATTCCTGTTAAATGATGAAGTCTTAATTTTCTTTTGAAAATCAGATCAGAAATTTTTTCTATGTATGTCTTTAATTTCTTACTCTGTTTGCATGGTAGAAATATCCATTCCAATATAATACCATCCCTTTGCATCAAGATCCCTGTAGGGGATAGTCTAGAGGATATTATAACCAGAATGCAGTTAAGCTCTGAATTCACATGATCCACATGTGCCTCTCATATTTTCTTTTCCATTAGAGCCAATTCCTTCTCAGCTTCAGCTGATAATTCTCTTGGACTATTTAAGTCCTTATCCCCATTTAGGGTACTGGACAAATTTATTAGTTCATCTTTAGTTATCCTAATGGTGGGCAGTAAATTAGAAATATCTCCTAACAATTTTTGAAAGTCATAAAGAGCCTGCAATTGATCTCTCCTGATTTGTTCCTTTTGGGGTCTAATTTTTTGTAAATCTATCTTATATTCTAAGTAATTAATAGAATCTCCTCTTTGTATTTTTTCAGGAGCAATTTGTAATCCCCACTGAGGCAAAACTGTCTTTACTTCTTCAAACATGTTTTCTAAAGTATCTAACTTTGGATCAGCTAATAAGATATCATGCATATAATGGTAAATTGTATATTGTAGAAATTGTACATAATTATTTCCAATGATTTTTGCATAAAATATTGGCATAGAATAAGGCTTTTTAACATTCTCTGTGGGAGTACATTCCATTGATATCTCTTAACTGGTTGAGAATTATTTTAAGTATGTACTGTGAAGGCAAATCTTTCCCTATCCTTTCCTTGTAGAGGTATAGTGAAGAAACAACCTTTTAAGTCAATAACTGTGGTGGTACTGTGTTCCCCAAAATATTATGTACCTTAATAAACTTATCTGGGGTCAGAGAACAGAAAAGCCACTAGATGCTTAAGATAGGCAGTGATAGCACACACCTTTAATCCTAGCATTCCAGAGGCAGAAATCCATGTGTTCAAGGATACAGCCAAGCATGGTGACTCACTCCTTTAATCCAAGACAGCAAGCCTTTAATCCTAGGGAGTGGTGGTAGAAAGCAGAAAGGTATAAAAGGTATGAGGACCAGAAACTAGAAGCATTTGGCTGGTTAAGCATTTGGCCTCGTTAAGCTTTCAGGCTTCTAGCAGCATAGTTCAGCTGAGAGCCATTGGGATGAGGACACAGAACCATCCAGTCTGAGGAAACAAGACCAGCAGAGGAATTGGTGAGGTGAGATAGCTGTGGCTTGTTCTGGTTCTCTGACCTTCCAGTTCACCTCAATACCTGGCACAGGTTTGATTTTATTAATAAGAACTGTTAAGATTCCTGCTACAAATAACTATAATAGGCTATTCTTTAGGTAACAGGGTGGGCAAGGGCATCCCATCCTGTAGAGAACCCATAGGCTGAATTACTTTATTTATGGCTCTTAGATCTGTCAGCATTCTCCATTTTCCAGATTTCTTTTTAATAACAAATACAGAAGAATTCCAAGGGCTGGTAGATTCTTCAATATGTTGAACACTTAACTGCTCCTAAACCAGCTGTTCTATAGTTTCTCTTGTGTCATAGGCCAATGCCAAACCCACACAGGTTTGTTAGTTAGCCATTTTAAGGGTAAGGCCATCGGTACCTCTGAGAGTTGAACAGTTGTTGTGCCCCGCTTATGGTGTATGTTCCACTTCTGAGACTGGAGGAATATTAATCTTGGTATTCTATTTCTGTGACAGATAATGACCATATAGATTCACTGCTACATTAGTCACATATGGCCTCAGCCTTCCTCTCTGTCTTTCTGGCCCTATGCATTCAACCCATCTCATTCTTTGTTTTACCTGAGATAGGGTTCTAATCCCTAGGAATTTAACATGTACCTCCTGAAGAGGCCTATTCGGATGCCATGGTTGTAGTATAATCATAGTCACATCCACTCCTGTGTCCAGCAAGCCTTCAAGTATAATGTTATTTATTTGTACCCCTAGCTTTGGTCTTTAGTCATTTATTGAAGTCTGCCAAAATATTCATTTTATGTTTTTTTCTGCTCAGTCAGTAGAGCATGAGATTCTTAATCTCAGGGTTGTGGGTTCATGACCCATGTTGGACACCAGATAATGCAGGAAATCCATGGATTACTGAGAAAGAGATTATATATTAAAGGATTATATGGAGGAATAACTCACTGATACAAGATAAGGCAAATTCAGTTCCAGAGTCCCTGGAAGGCTGAGAACCGGTCTCACACTGCTTCACACCACATGCCTCAGTCTTCAACATTCAAGAGCACATGAGAGAAGGATCCCATGTATGTACTCCCCAGATCTTAAGCTATTCAAGAGGCCATGCCCTAGGGGCTGTTACCCCCAAGGCCATATGTGGAATAAATATCCACTACAGTGGCTTGCATCTATAGTCCTAGTACTTAGGAGGCAGAGGATTGCCTGAGGTCTAATAATATAAATAATTAATATAATTAATAATATTAATTATGTATAGTTAATATAATATAAATAATAAAATAAATAAAAATAATATAATGATGAAAATGAGCATCAGTTACCTGTAAGAAATGGTCAAAGGCTGAAGCAAGTGACGAATTGCACATGGTTGAAGCAGGAAGTAATGCCATGAAAGCAATCCAATTAATGCTGGCAACTGAAAACAGATCACCAGTGGCTTTCCTTTGGAGAATTACTCTTCTGTCATGTGTAGTCTTTAGGCTGGAGTGTGGTACAGGACCTGTGCAGTTAGTGGGCAACACTTAGTGGTTATCAGGAAGATAGAGGAGGAGGAGGATGGGAAACTCTTACGTTAGCCTGAAAGGCATGATCAGAGGCTGACCTAATCTAGATCGTCCTTTGCAGGAATACCCAGAGGTTGTCTCCCAGGGTGATTCTACATCCTGTCAAATTGATGATACTAACCATCACAATCTATGTGTCTATTTTGAGGTAGTGCTCTATTGCTTTGATTACTACGTCTATGTAGTATATTTAAAGTTAGCCTTCTGTTTTGTTTTTTGCTTGAGATGGCTTTTGCTATTGCAGGCTTTTTGTGGTTCCATACACATTTTAGGATTGGTTTCTTTTTTAAAGTTCCTTGAAGAAGTCATTTTGATTCCATTGTCTGTTCTCTTTATATAATTTCATTTCTTTGCCAGGAAAAAATTTTTTTTTTCTTCTTTTGTTTCATATGTTCAATTTTACCTGCTTCAAAGCCCTTGTCTGACCATCTTAACATACATGTCATCTTGATAGTCACTTTTTCCTGGTTCTTCATTTTCAGACTATTTTTTATTGTGTTTAGGACTTTTTGAATATTCGTTGTTTGGATATGAGTCTTGTAAAAACCTAAAAAGTGTTATTTTAAATAATTGTTATTTTTGCAGATGACCAATCACATTAGCTTTTGACTGCAAGTTTTAAAAATTTCTGTCTGTAGACAGGGTTTCTAACCCTTCCAGATCTTTGTCAATGTCAATTTATATCTATACAACACTTATACCTCCGCATATACTTCCAACTCGTGTAGTCTCTTGGGATCTGGAGAGTTTGGTCAGCTCTCACTGGTGACTGGCATGCAGTGGGTAGAGGTCAGAATTGTTGCTAAGCATCTTACATTGCACAGGACATAATAAGGAATCATTTGGTTCAAAATATCAGAGGCGTTGAGGTTGAATGCTTTTATTTAGTTCTTGAAATTATTGCTGTCTTATCTCAGGCCTGTCTCATGTAAATGCACCTCAAAGGTAACTTGGCACTTTGGGAGCCTCTTACTCATTTCTGGGGTCATTCTCTTTTCCAGATCACTTTTTTCCAGGATCCCTTTCACATTCTTTTATAGAGGTATCTTTCTGCCAGTTCTGTGTAGACAATTAGTTTCTTGTAAGACTTTTAACATCCTGTATCATTGCTGCTAAGAAGCTCTGTAGTTCAGTTTTCCCATAAGAGAAAAGCCACAAGGTAAGAGGGGAAAACTCACTCTTCTATCTGTTCTATGTATGTTAGTACACCATGTGCCTGCAGTGTTTGTAGAGGCCAGAAGAAGGCATTGGATCCTTAGGACTGGAGTTACAGATGGGTGGTGGAAACTGAACTCAGGTCTTCTGAAAGAGTAGCTAGTACTCTTAACTGTGAAAGCCATCTCTCTAGCTCTGTTTCTTTAATTTTTGAGTCCATGCTACAATTTGTTCATTGTGTTCACTTCATAAAGTCCTGAGATAGTGTTTTAATAAATATTTTTATCCAGTTCTGGTTTGTAATCAGCAGGAGTCAGAGGCCACTGTCTTGGTAAAAACTGGGAGTTACATTGTGATATTTAATGTAGGATGAAATACCAAAGATATTTATAGAGATATGCAAAATTAATATAATGAAGCTCTTGGAGATTACATAGTCCAATGGAACTACACCAGTCTGGGTAAAAGGGTAAGTGCTATGTATAGACAACTAATCAAGTGTATTCTTAAAATAACTGGCTGTTGTCAAAACACAGGCATTCTAGTTATGCTGTGATGTCTTGATGTATTTTCTCATACTGTTTTTCAGGGGAGTATCTTTGCATAAATATCACTCCATGGTGTCTAGAATAGTGACTTTGGAATCATTTTACTCAGAGCCCCAGGCTAGGCATTCCATGGAGCAGTCTCGGTACTAGAAGAAGTGGGCTGTGGGAGGACTTGTTGCTACTAGCCTCTATCTCAATTACAACAGCCCATGTTTAATTTTTTTTCACATTTGTGCTGCTATAACAACTAAGTTTTATATTGGTAAATAAAATCATAGAAAACCACCAGTTTAAAGAACCTTTATTGCAATTTTCATTCTAATTACTTTTACGAGAGAGTTTCAGTTTGGGCTTTAACATTTATCTTTAACATTTCTTTTCATGCTTTGCCAGTTTTACACAGAAATAATTCATCTTAAAGCATTTGCTAATTTCTGATGTAAAACACCCTTTCTCAGATAGACTGATGTATTAATATCAATCAAATATTTATATGCCAAATACAGCGTGTTTTTATTTGAATAGCATTTTTCATTTGTGTAATTTTTTTAGATTTACATTTTGCTTTTAAATGGAGCTGTATTATTACAGAAGATGGGAAAACAAAATTATTTTCCACAAGGGGAAGGCAGCCATAAAAGTAAATCACAAAACAATATTATAAATTCAGCAGGGGTGGGGACTGGAGAGATGGCTCAGAGGTTAAGAACACTGGCTGCTCTTCCAGAAGACCTAGGTTCAATTCCCAGCACCCACATGGCAGCTCACAACTCTCTTTAACTCCAGTTCCAGTGGATCCAACACCCTCACACAGACATACATGCAGGCAAAACACCAATACACGTAAAATAAATAAGTAAAAAACACATAAAATAAATAAATAAAATTCTGTTATTGTTGCTTGCTTAATCTTTGAAGTCTAATGCCAACTTTTTTGAGAGAAAACAAAACAAAACAAAACACATTAGCAAGCATTAGAGAAGTGTCAAAGGGCATCTGTTGAGATGGCTCAGGGTAAAGGGCTGGCTGCCAAGTCTGACCTGCCTAAGACCCGGAATCCACATGGTGGAAGTGAGAACTGACTCCCACAGAGTTGTCCTCTGACCTGCACACATACAGTGGCACACACTCATCCAACCACATGCACACAAAATAAGTTAATTTTAAAAGAAGTATTATATAAGATAAGCACACATCTTTTAATTGATCCTGACATATTTGTGATGAATTACAGTGGTTATTAAAATTTATTAAGAATATCAAAAATAATTAAGAGCTTATGGATACAATAGATCAGCAGAATGACTGGGTAAAAATATTAAGCATATCACGTTCAACACTATACTTTCCTATAATCATGAAATAGTCAAAACTAAGTTTCCAGTTAGGGTGGCAGCAAAATTTATAAACTAGCAAGAAACAACTGCAATAAGAAATATGTATGGCTGGGCGGTGGTGGTGCATGCTTTTAATCCCAGCACTTGGGAGGCAGAAGCAGGCAGATCTCTGTGAGTTCGAGGCCAGACTGGTCTACAGAGCAAGTTCCAAGACAGGTTCCAAAGTTACAGAGAGAAACCCTGTTTCAAAAAAACAAAAAAGAAAAAGAAAAGAAAAGAAAGAAATATATATGGTCACATTGATAAAATCTAAGAAATATATTTTAAAATTTACCAATTGCTCATTGAGAAGATGGTATATTACAAAACTGTCTAAATTAAGTTATACATTTAAAATGTTTTGCCAATTAGGGCAATATATGTCTGAAGTCCCAGCTACTTGGGTGGCTGAGTCAGAAGTATCACTTTAGTCCAGGACTTCAAGGCCAGCATGGGCAACAGAATAAGATCCCAGTTCAAGAAAGAAAAAAAAAATAGAGTAAAAACCATTCCAGCTAAAATTGCAACAGAAGAGGATAAAGAGGTGCTTGAAGTTTATAAATTATATTTAAAGGCGAATTGTTAAAATAATTCACAAACTTAAAAAAGAAATTAACAAATGAGGAATAATTTTAATGACTGATCATACATATGATAGAGGCATCATGTGATTTTCTTGTATGGTGATGATAGATTGTACATTTAGCAGGTGTGTAGTGGGTAGCCATTCCAGCTTGGTTCTGGAAGTTCCAACCCCCATTGAGACTCTGGCAACTGTCACGCCTACG